CTTCCCCTGCGGCCTTCATCGACGTTCGCCATCGCCCACTTCACTGGACTTCTTTCCGCCATCGTCACTTCCTGGCGTCGACTCCATCATCATAGTCGAGATCCCGAGTTCTAGTGTTGTATGGATGTTCATGTGTTTCCTGTTTACGTGTTGTGTGTTTGTGTTTCATCATCGCCCGTCTGTGCGAGATATGGGGTGGCTAGTCGCATTAGTTTTCGACTTTGATCATTCGTGCCTCGTCCAGCCATTGGTTTTACATGGTTTGGACTCCACGTTTCTTTGTGCAGTTTGGTTGGGGTGGCAATTAACGCCTCTCTTCCGTTTTGGCCATGAACGTTCTTCAGTCTTACCTTTTGTGGTCAGCGCATTCAGCCGTAGTGTGCCCGTCGTCCTGTCCCACTGAATTTTGCGGGAGTAATTCTGGACTCTCTTGTGTCGCCACCCTCATTCCTCCAGTCGTAATACGCGCTTGCGCGCGAAATAGAGTGGTGTGTGGCGTTGATATTGATTTATTTTGTTTTTTGTGTTAAAACATGGTGCTTTGCAGCACATCTTCCATAAGCTATATCCCTCCAGGGTATAACCTTATCATCGAGTCGCCACTAGCTGTGTTTACGCGTCATCGGAATCACTTTTTGTCTCAATGGTGGTGTGGAGGGTGGAGTCGGGATATTTCTACAGCTCCTCTTTCCTTTGGATACACTTGTGACGAGTCATATCTTTCGATTCATGATCCTAAATCATCAGCTATTAGTAGCCTTAGGATTTGAGTATAGAATCTGTATAGATGATCTTCAGGGTGGGCTGGTGTTAAGGAGTGTTGCTGTATGGCACAGATAGGGTACACGGTCGGTCTAGATTAAGATGGGGGACGTCAGGAGGTATACCCTCTTAGGACGTACCCCGTCGGGACTTAGCTATCTGCGTGCCCCCAGGTTGAGGGCAATCCGCCTCACCTCAGACCTGTAGCAGACCCGCTTCTTCTGCAATAACAAGCAACCTTCCCATCTCAACGTGCTCGTGGACAAGAGTGTCTACGGCAGAATCTACATCTACTACATCTAGGAGGCAAGCCACCGTCGGGCGGGCATTCCTTTAAACTGTGCTGTCTTTCGAACTCGAAACTTCTGGCAATGCGTGGCGGAAGTGGCGCACCCGCACACACGCACAGAAGATTGTTGGAAAAAAAGGGGGTTCTACTCGCCGCCAGCCGGTCGGGTTCCGGTTACCCCAAGAAGACTTCTCTTGCCTAGCAAACAAGAAGAAACCTCGAAAAAGGGGGGGGTAATGTGGAGACCACCTTCATCAAGGTTGAAACTCCCCAACGTCTGTCGAGGACGAAACCCTCTTTTCCACATAAACCTCACAAAGTACGGTGATCGTGGTAATTTTTGGGCGCACACCTTGCCGGCTACCTGCGGTAGTTTTTCTCACAGTATTGGGACTCAAGTGTAATGCAGCTGTGACCGTGTGTGCGTACGATATCAACATTTTGAAGCTTTTGGGGGGCGGATGGAGGTGTTGCTGCACTATTGTAGCAACACCAGGTAGAAGAGTGCCCATGGCGGCCTAGAAACGTGCGAATAATGAAGCTGACGGTGTAGTCTACGCAGCAACCCCGTAGACGATGCAAGTGTACAGATAGCTGGAACGGTTGGCGTCCGGTTTGTAAGAGGACAATAGGGTGGGTCTTCGCGTCTGTGGACACGATGCTCGGCATGTCGCAACAGGCGCAATCATATTACTGTAGCACAAAAATCAAGGGTGCCCGGAAAAAGGTCATCCGACGCAGACAGGTCCCCTGGGCAGGGGCCAGTAAAAAATACCATTTTGGTTCGTTCTTGTCTTGTTTTTGACCCTAGACAGTGTGGTGCACACAAACTGTTTGACCTGATTTTACAGATGAAACACCGGCACTAGAATACGCCGTAAATGCCTGCGCCAAGAACGCGCTGTTGGTGGAGTAACTACACGACAATCATCCGTACATCCTCACCACATCCTCGAATCAATTCTCGGCGAAACAAAAAAGCCCGGAGAAGAAGTAGTGTCACGCCCCTGCGCGCGTGACCCAATGCTCGACGGAAACCGCGGAAATATGTAGGAGCTCGTGACAATGCTGAGTGTTCCGTTCGCCAACAGTCAAATATTTCCGAATAAACTCATCATTCCCTCAGGCAAAGCAATACGTCACCCGTGAAGAACGCCGTGTCGGGGTGCGGTAAGGGTCAAGTCGTCCCCGTCCCCCGTCGACCGGCAAGTCCAAGTGTGTAAACACTCGTTCATTCGCGAATTTAATAGGTTCCCACCGCATATTTGTATGGCACACCCTAAACTGAAATAAAAGAAACAAATACAAGAACAAACACACGTACGTACAAGTAGTTTTTTTCGCGCCTGGAAGCAAAACACTCGGCTTTCTATCTACCTCGGTCTGTGCAAGCTAGTTGTGGGCAAATAAAACGTTCCAGAGATAGAATCAAACCCGCAACCTGCTGCCAGTAGGTACGAGGTGAACCCTTGGCCACAGGGGATCACTAAAGGTTCGTGGACGTCAATTTTTCACCAACTTACACACACATGATGACACCATTGCCATGCTTTTCTACGGTTTCTGCAGCCTGTCGCCGTATGCAACAAGGTGAATTCAATACTACACAACACAAACACCCTCTGGGCAGAATCGCTACGCTCTAGCCTGCCCAACCGATGTACATTTCAATACCAAGCTTTCTTCAAGAGAGAGAAAGCGCTGACCTCTTACCCGATACGGTGCCAGGTACAAGAGATCACGCTCTTTTTGTCTACATCTCGACACAAGAGGACACAAGATAAAAAGGAGCCTCAAAACGGAACAACAATTAGTCGCCTCTTTACCGAGTCCATCGTGATCACTGCTTCGGTCACAACAGTGTTCACACCACATATAAGGCGAATCGGGAATCACTCCACACATCATTCCGAAGGAACGGCAAAACAGCATCATACACCCCCAACAATCTGAAAAAAAACTACACTGTACCGCTCGTGGGAGTCAGCTTCCATCGGGCATACAAAATGTTCGCGAGTGCGGTCGTGACAGAGAGATCACATCTCGAGCCAATTCGTACCAAGTGATGCAGTCGTCTGCTGCTTGAAAATGGACAGCCCAAAGGAGTACAACAACATATCTGTTCCTATTACGCGGTGAATGGCCGGGCTTTTGTGAGCCCATTGAAGCACCTCATCGCGAAGCCTGGTCATTACCCCCGGATTTCTCTGCTTGGACACGTTCCACTCACGCACGGGTGACCGCACGCGCGCGTTGAAGAGCTGTATAGACAGATCCCAGTGCTCCATAATACCCACTGCCGTATATCCCGCCAAGATGTCCTGCGAGCGTCCGAGATACAGCCACAAGCACGTCTCACTTCCTAGTGGTATAGGTTTAGCGGCCAAGACGCCGATAATATCATGGGTACCGTAGGAGCCACTTGTGCAAAAAGTAGGGTTAGATGCCTTTGAACACAGCATATGCACCACTGGAAGGGTGATTCACACTTGCTTTCGGTAAGACATGCCCTCTTTGCTGGGAGCAGGAGCCTGTAAGGGCCGTTATATACAGCAGATGTTTCGCTGCCAAATTTCCAATTACCAAATTCGTAGACCGTTGACCCTCGATTTTTTGCGGCCCAGGAAACTTGGGAGTTTTGGAAAATTTGGACTACTGGCACCGAAAAAACGGGAAATTTGGAAGCAAAACCGCTGTGTGCATAAGGCGGCCCCAGCAGCCTAGGATATCTTACGGCTGACTGCCCCGTGCACTGTGTTCCCTACTCCTTGTTATGAGCAACACTACAGTAAGGGCCAGCGATCAAGAAGCAAGCCAACCTTTTAGAAACAAAGGCTCAGATATTGGCGATAATCGACAAAAATATACCAACAAACACGCCTCAGCCTTGGATCCTACACGAAACAAACTCTGTATCATGGCCTGTGCTCGGTGGTGGTGACGAAGAAATAAGAAATTGAGCCTCGATCCCAAACTGACGTTTCTTGACGCGGACGCTAAATAAATGTGTATACCAGGAAACAAATAGCGGATTTGCAAGCCCTACCTGGACCTGCTGGAGGACATCTAGAATACCGGGTTCGTCCAGCATCTGCGGTGAATCAACCTGCGGCAACCCCAGATGAGCCACACACGTACCGAAAACGCACGCAACAAACATTAGAATATTAATACTACAAGTGATCCCTCTAGAGTGGACTCATGAGAGCACAGTGTCATCAAGGGGTGATGCAAGATGAAAGCAAATAATGTGTTGGTGTGAATCAGCTGCCAGGTGCGATTAGTGACGTTTCTCTAGCTCGAACAGCTCGCACAGCTGACTTGTTGATTCGAAGACCCCAGCGAATCTAAACGAACCAAGAAGACAACAAAAATGTAAATCTGAATAAACGATTGACATCTCCTAGTAATACCCCGCGTAGCCCGTCCAACGAACCAACCCGCACGACAAAAGTCTCACACTGCGACACGTTGTTCACCTGCCTAGGCTCAAGTCACAGAGGCGAGCAGAACACGTTCACGAGGTAGTAACCAGATCACTTCTCACCTCCGCCTCTTCGCAGAAGGTGTCAGGGGGGCAGTACAAGCCAAACGTCATCTGCTTGAACGCCTGATTCCGCCAGCTTTCCTGCGCGAAGTCCAGCAGGCGCTCGGTCGCGGGCACCGGGTGCTCCTCGTGCCCACACCACTGCGAACGTGTCGCGTGCGTCGGTAGCGTGCTTCACATTTAGTTTGACCCCTAGAGGGTGAACGGTACGACGACTGAAGCTTAATGGCGGCCGTGAAATATGCTCCAGATGACAAAACGTCGAAACCGCGACCCCATGGATGAGGGTGGCGTAACAGAGGGTCTCGACCCCCATAAATCGGAGTCACCTCTCAGAGGGTACCCAACTTCACTACAGTATAGCGGGTCGAGTCCGTGGCAACAGATTTCGACCCTCTTACATCGGAGCCCCCTCTTACAAGGTACACTCGTATATCGGAGCCTCGACTGTACTCAAGTGCGGCGGAGTCTGCCGCCATGCTATCGGCGGGACGTTACAACCCATACCTTCCGAGGCCTCAATTGGACATCGTGGTCCGTTGGGCAGTAGAAAAACGCCGACACCAGGCGATCGATGGGGTGTCTCAACATCGTGAAGTACTGGCATTCCCTTCTCTCAACCTCCAAGGGATATCTGGGATCACGGGAGACGAAAACGGAAATCAAACGTTACGGTCGTTCCATATACGCGCATAACATGGGGTGTCACCAAACCTTCAAGTACTCGCGTTTCCTCCTGACCAACCTCCAGAGGATTTCTGGGACGACGGGGGAGGAAAAGCGAGCAACATTTCGACGGAAAACCAATCTGATCTCGGCCCCCCGCCCCCCCCAAAGAAAAAGACTCAACTAATACATTAATACGAGGCAATCATGAATCTGTTCAACGTTGTCAGGCTTTTTCTGCCCAAAGCTGGGCGCCTGCATTTGGACGAACCACTCTTCTTTGTCTCAGTATATCCGAACAGCAGTATATGATACAGCATTCCGTTGCACCGCAACACCATCGAAATCGAGAGCATCGAACAGAAGCAAGTGACACTCGCCTTATAAGTTCCGCGTATCCCGTGATGATCGCAGAAGAGTTGATAGCTTCCAAGCAAGCGTTTGTTCTGTCTTGCTCATTTATGCACACCGCTGCACCGGAGAACAGAACGGCGAGGAAGAGCGAATTCTTCACGTCATTGTGGCGTCGGTAGGACCGTTGTTGCTCGCACTCCGAAATTAACGACAGACAAAACGCCGTTGATCTCCACCTTGCGAGTCGATGACAACTAACTGTCGGCTTTCACATTCCCCACGTCCTGTTCCTGGTCATTCCATCATTGACACTCGAAGTACAGCCGGCCCCGCTGTAAAGCCGCGCACGGTTTTGTAGCGAAGAGTGTCTCTAACGCCGAGAAGTTTAAGAGTCCGGGGGTGATAGCTTACCGTCCCTGGGGTCAATGGAGGAGTACCATACGTCATAAGACGCCCAATTGCAGCACGGATACTATTAATAGCCGCCCGAAAAGTACTGTAAACTTGACGATCACAACGTGGTCGCGGTGGTTCGAAGTTGCACGTACGTCCTAATATGTATACAGCGTCGTTCGCTGTGGCACCTTACTTAGCGTTGCAACACTCCTCCCCCCACCATATTGTTCAGAACAGCAGTGGGTACATTAATGCAGGACGAGGTCTACCATGCATGTTGAACGCCCCCTCTCGACATGCCCGCTGTGGTTGGTGCTGATGTACAACAGTGCCTTGGTAGTTGTTGGCATTGTTATCTATCTACTCTATTGCTTTGGCGTCGTCTCCAAGTTGAAAAACCTGTCGAGATGCAGTTGTTCAGCATCATTTAGGGGTCCCGTATGATGAAAACGGTACCCCCCTCTACAGTTTTCTATCTGCGGGGCACCCTGCTTCTGAGATTTTTTGTGTCTCCTATACATAGTGTACTGGCCAAATGGGGACACTTCGGGAACACAACACTCATCAAATAAATGCCTGTTGTTGACCGCACCGTGGTCGACACTATATATATATATATATATATATGCTCCGCTGTGTGAAAAGTGTGTGGGAACCCGTTGTCTAGCACACTGCTGGCGTGAGGTGGTACGCTGTGTGACAAAACTGCTGTGTGTGATGCCTGTGTGCTTCTCCTAGGCCTCTGACTTGCTGTACACGACCTCCCAAATCCGCGGGTCCCCGTTCTTAAAACTGTACCACGTAGTAGATATAGCCACATGTATGTGCGTTGTTTCGCCCTAGAGTAGTAGTGGGCCCTTTATTATAGTGCCGGTGTGTTCGGCTCGCACACGCTGAACGACCAAGTTTTTCTGTACTTTGAATAGTGCCGGTATCCGGAAAAAAAGTGCCAGTAAAATCTCTGAACACATTCCGGCACCATACAGGGCCCACCACGGTACTTATTATTGTCCTTGAAAAAATGCTGACTTGGCTTCCGTACAAAGAGTGTACCCAGTGCATTTTGGAGACACTTTTCATCCTGAAGCCAAGTCAGCCTTCGGCCCTCGGGACTGTATAGCCTCTCCCAAAGAGTGGACGCGTTTTTTTCTGAACCCAGAACCTGTAGCTGGGTGCTTGGTACTAGGAGGTTTAAAGCGGGTACATCAGACTGTAGACTCTACTTTTGAGCAGCACGCGACCACGTGTACAAGAACTTTTCCTTCCTTCTTAGTATGACACAACGAATCCATCTCTATCTGAGAAAAGTGTCCAAGACAGAATAGCAATGAATCCATAGCGTCAGTGAAGGCTACCTGTGTTTCCATGATTTCCCGAGCAGCATGCATGCAGCGACATCTCCCCCGTGGGTAACAG